TGATAGTTGGAAAGCTGCAACATGTTCTCACTCGCTGAGTCCTTGACCTAAGGGGGGAAGGTAGTATTGGATGTGTTTTTAGGTATAATGCGTCCATTCTTCCCAATTTTTATGTTCTCCCTCTCAAGGAAGTATGTTTCAAAAAAGGCTTGCAAAACAGTGTGCTGAACTTTTGTTATGCAATCTCAAAGTAGTAGAGGGTCATGTAAGATAAAATCAGCATAGGATGAGCCAGCAGAAATAGTGGACATTTTTGTTGGAAGGAATAATGAGGCCTAATAGTTATTTTGCATGATAGATTAATATCAATAGGGATCATGTTCTATATTTGTGAACACTCACCATTCCATTGGGTGTGAATAGTATTCAGCTAATCTTCACAGCAGCTCTGTGAAGGAGATTCTGTGATGTCGCTTTCGTACATAAGGACAGTAAAACTCAATTCGTTTTATACGAAAGGGGGGGTTCAAATGACAAGCCAGGCCGTGTGTCCTGCGAGACCATGTCCCATCGTGCATTCAATGGGAGGGTGAGGTTTTGTTTCTGGGAATCCAACACAGTTTTACAATCTGGCAGACTTTTTCTTTGGATGGGTGGCAGGCAGAGGGACGAAGAGACTGTGGCACGGCCGTACAGTGGAGTGTTTCACAATAGGAGAGCGTGAACTGTTAATGTGCGCTCACCCGGGCCTATCAGAATGCTGTGCGGAGTGGAAAAAGCCAGAAAAAAGGGACCACCTGAGACCCATGGTGCCTCTTACGCAGAGTTCCAGGGGATGTCAATCAGCTGACAGCCATAGGAGCTGTCTGTGTGGCTCCGGGGAGGATAGGGGCTGGGTGGCATGGTAAGCTCGGGATGGCTGCTTCATTCGCTTAAACTTGGAGATGGCTGGGTGAGAGTGTACGTATGTCAGACTTATCAAAATATACAATATAATGACGTGCAGTTTATTGTATGTCAATACACCTCTATAAAGCTGTTAAAATATACACGCAATTAGAGAAAAGCAAAGAGAATGATGTGTTTATACATGGGGATCATAAAGAGAGACATTTTACAGCGGGAGTCCTCTTGTCCGAGAGGCCTCTGAACCCTGTTTTTTACGATCTGATCCCAGGTGCTCCGGGAGAACTGGAACCGTGAGGGCCCAGAGCTTCCCTGTGCTCGGCCCCACCCGGAGAGAGCGGAGCTGTTCCGATTGCGCATCGAGTCCCGGGTCCCCCCCACTTCGTTAGTTGGGAGCATTCGGACTCCCTGCGTTTTTCATGGCTTCTGTTCTCCTGTGGGAGAAGCAGAGACGACAGTGTCTTTATTTCTGCGCTCTCTCACGGGGCAGCAGCGATAAATACCAGATGTGTGGCCAGAGTGGGAACACGTGGTAGTGGGCTGCAGCGGCAGAGACCCCTTAGTCTAAGGCTGAGGCTGAGGCTGAGGCGCGTGTCCAAGAGGGGCTGGAGCTGCTGCTTGCTGGTCTTCCAGGCGAGGTGCGGCGGAGGGGGTGGGGGGACCGACCAGGTCCTGAAGGCCCAGGGATTTCGAGGAATGGGCGGAGCCAAATCGTGGCGCTGCAATGGCGCTAGTACATCAGTTAGCATTTTTGGGTTTAGGAGGGGGCGGTAGGCAGGGGAAGACCAAGAAGGCTTCCCTGGAAAGGTGGTTTCCTCTGCAGTTAGCGGGTGCAAATCGTCAGCCGACTTAAAATACCATGGTGGGGAAATGGGATGAGAGGAGGAAAACCTGGGTCACGGAAGCTTGGGTCTGATGAATCTGCTGGGGAGGACTGCCCTCCATGTTGTAGGTAGTTAGTAGTCATGAGTTCTCCTGGGGAGCATTAATTAGGGTTTAAAGATAAGAAACTGTTTTGCTTTAACTTCTAAGACTTGGAGCTTGTTCCGTAGCCTGTACGTATCATTCTGTGACCATGATGCCAGTGTTCCCAGTTCCTGGACCCTACTTGCTAGGTTTCATCCGTGTGTCAGCCTCATCCAGACGACAATCACAAATACGTCCTGAATCCCACATATGCCCTGGGGTGGCCTGAGATGATCACTGGGCATGAGTGAAGATGTGATATTTTTCTTTTCCATGTTGGAAGGGAAAAGAGAGGAGAGCTCGCTTACAGCAGTGGAATGAACTGCTTTTAATCATATAGGTTTGGCAGAAGTAGTGCGGTTCGGAGCATTGACCGGGAGGCCACTTGTAATCTATCGGGCCATTGGGCAATAACCTCTTTGTACTCCGGCCCCTTATCTGTAAAATGGGGGCAGTGATAGCATGTGCCTCTGGTCCTTCGTGAGGAGTAAATAAGTTCAACCCTGGCTGACATGATGGACTACTGACTTAAAGGAAAAGGAAATGGCCATATACTTCTTTATTCAAAAGACTTTGAAAGCAGCCCATGGGAAGCAGAGGAGACTTCTTGCTTCCAGCTCTCTTGAGTTGAATTCTAAAGTACTCATCTCTTGAAAAGACCTCTTAAATAATTATTCTTCAGTGAGGGCATTGAAAGATAGATGGGGAAAGTGATAGTTCGACCTTGAGTGAGTTCTTCTTCCCCGGACCCACTGAAGGAGCCTTGTGTTATGTCAGAGCGAAGTCCCCTTGAGCGGACACCAAATGACACGGAGGGCATGAAGTGGCAGGGGCTGAAGTGAGGGCCAGTGCGCTGTGGACGAGCTCCCGAGAGTGACGCTGCCAGCGGGGGAAGCTCCCTCTGCCCAGCACCGAACCAGGACCATGGACCACAGAAGGGCTCCGAGTGGACCTCTGTTCCAGCAGATACCTCAGGGACCTCGAGGTCTTTGTGATTGCTGCACTGTGACCACTTCCCAACCCAAGCCTTGTGCATGTTTGAGAGGCTCCCTAGGAGATGCCATGAAGGAATCAGACTTCAACAAATTAGAATCTTTTCCCCACACCTGGGCAACAGTGAGACCAGTGCAGACTGGCAGAGTGATGGACGCGTTGGCTCTCAACGTCGAGAGTGGCAGCTGGCCTCCTTGTGTCCTCAATTCAAAGAAGGGTTCCCCCGATGCCGAAGCAGTGCAGAATTGTCTCCCAGATGCCTCAGAACCCAGACTCACCAAGGACGGCCCAAGTTCTGGAGCCCTGATGCCCTGGGGAAGGCAGGTTATCTCTGCCCTCTCTCTTGTGTTGCCTCACTACAGACCTATTGGCCCTCTCTCTCCTAAACTGAGCCTGTTTGATAGCATTTGCCTCTTGCCATTAACTTTCCGTACTCCCCCAATCTAATGAATCCAAACTGCTTTGGAATATTGTTTGAAATGTTCCAAAATATGGTAAAAATCGTTTTGGTCCATGAATTCTCTTGAGGAGCATTAATTAGGGTTAAATATTAAAACATTTTTTGCTTTAACTTCTGAGACTTGGAGCTTGTTCTGTGGCCTGTGGCACTTCGTTCTGTGACCATGGTGCTGGTGTTCCCAGTTGTCTTAAAAATGGTACAGTCCTCCCAGGAACTCAGGTTCAATTGACAGTTTTACTATATTTACTGGAATTAGGGCTGAATGAGAATTGATAGAAATAGAAGTAATTAAAAAGGAATAATATACATTGAAATAGAAGCAAAATGTTTACCCATCATATCTTGTTATCCCAGTCTGTTGACTGAAAAAAGTGTACAAGTTCAAAAAAAAAATCAGACTATAAGTATTAGAAGAACATGACTTGAGCATTTCCTTGAACAATCTTGCCTATTTCTATCTGAATCATAAGAGATAACAATCCATGCCACTGTCTATTTCCAGTGTTTTGTGGTACCTTAACCTCTTCATTCTAAGAAGTGATCTTAATTCCATTTGCATTGCTGGGACCAAATCCTTGACACCCACGATTGAAAGGAGGAATGGTTTATTTTAGCTCACAGTTTGGAGAGGTTTCAGCCCATAGTCAGCTGGTTCTAAGGCAGGACAGCATGGCAGAGGAGAAACAGTCCATGGCATGACAGGCAGGAAACAACAAGCCTTCCTTCCATCTCTTTTTATTCCATCCAGGCTACAAGTTTATTGGTTTGTGCCACCATACTCAGTGAATAAATCCACCATCCACATCCAGAACCCTGCTAAAGGAATCAGTGGACTCATCCAGTATCACACACCTGTGATCCAGTCACCCTCCAAAACTGCCAGCTATGAGTGCATGAGGCTTTGAGGGGACACCTAGCTACAAGCCAATCATGGTCTGATCATGTTTGCTTGCACTCTCATTCCCATTTCTAAAGGATGGAAAATGGTAATTCTGAATTAGCCGGCCAATTCACATATAACCTTGATGTAGCAAGACACTGAGATGGCCAAGACCCTGAGCTTCTAAGTCTAGCTCATCTGTTCCCCTCAGAGGTATCTTTGACACGCAGGATGACTCCCACACCTGTGTCTGCCTTTCCTTTTTAGGAAGCATGCAGGATGACAACCCTTCTCCAAAGGCCAACGCAAGGCCGTATCGGCCTTCACAGTGTGCTTACACCTTATGCTGGGAATGTACGGCAGAAAATTGTAGGCCAGTCATGTGGAGAAATAAAGCCAAAAGAGACAGTATATTTTCAGGAGCAATTTAGTGCATGATTGGTCTTACTGATGCCGTTAGTGCAGTGTTTATTGCTGACTGAGTTTACCCGCAGCAACTGGGAAGCACTCTGTGTTTAGGAACAATCATGGGAGAAAATACATTGATTAGTTAGTAAGTTAACTCTACTCCAGCATTAGAAAATCAGCCCGTCATTGCTAACTTGGAAAGATGTTCATAAAGCTGTATGTCTCACCGATCCTGGCCAGCTGTTGCCTTTTCTTTATTCTGTGTTTCCCTGTTCAGTCAAATACTCCCATACTTTTGTGATTTTTTTTCTAACAGGCTTTATTCAGCCCGACAACTCCCCCTCCCCACCCCAGAATAACAGCAGTTGTGCCCAGCATGAAAATTGAATTTATGGGATGGCTCAGAGATTAAAAAAGAAGAAAAGAAAATCCCAGAATGCTATGCCAATATGTGAATTTACTTGAAGATGTCACAGTGCATGGATGGGTTGTCCTTTTTCTGCCAACGTTTCCTGCCGATGTTAATAGCAGGGTTTCTTTTTTCTCATTCTGTGTGGCGCGGAAGAGAAAACAGTTACCTTGTAGTGATGAAGGAATGACGTTTCAGACAATGTTAAAGACCAGGACACTCCCCACTCTGTCACACCCTCCTCCATCCTCACATTGCATTTTGAAGGCAGTATAACCCCGTCCTCCTCTGTCCACCCTGAAAGTCAATCAAGATATTACTTGGTGAGTGGGGAAGAGCCCAGAGGGTAAACTGACTTAGCAGCCACCATGTTTTATGGGGCCCGAGGGCCAACAATGGTGTTCAGATTTTTAAATGGTTAAAAACAATCAAAAGAAGATTAACACTCTGTGAAATTCACATGTCAGTGTCCATAAATAAAGTTTTGTTGGAACCCAGCCACTCCTATTCACTGACAGATTGTTTCTGGCCGCTGTCTAAGCACAGTTGCAGAGTTGGGATTTGCCACGCAGACCACACAGCCCTCCTAACCTGGAGTTTTTCCCCACTGGCTCCTCACAGAAAACTTCGCCGACTTCTGGTGTGGGGGCCGATGGGAGCTGAGAACTGGGGGATGGAATGAGCACCAGCTTTCAGGGTTAGGCCGTGGGGAACCCGAGCCGTGCCTCAGTTTCACACGTTTCCTCCGCGAAGGTTCTGGGAGGATGAAACGCAATAATGGACCTGAAGCCGCACACAGCACCTGCCTGCCAGGGGTGCGCAGTCCATACTTGGAGTTTTCCCTTTCAGGTTGCAGATATTCGCAGTTTATTTCTTGCCTCGGGTCACCTGTTCAGACAGCTGGAGCAGAGATTCCCGTTCCCAACCCTGGCAGTCGCCGGTGAGATAGAGATGATTGCCTCACTCCCCCCTCTTCTTTCCTTTATTTGGTTCCTTTGCTGCACAGAACTGGTGCCACTCAGTTCAAGGGTAGCAAAAATGTCATTTTACCTTGAGGTGGACAGGTCTTGACCTTGAGTGACAGAAAAGCGTGCCAGCCGATGGCCACTTGGCGGCCTCTCAGAGGGGAGGCTCTTGTGTGTTCAGCGCGGCGCCGACTTGTGCAGAGGGGCACCTGTGCCGGCTCAGCTGTGTGCAGCCCGTGTCTCCGAGGAAAGCTTGGCCACCCTGCTGCTGAGCTGCTTTTTTCCCTCCTTTAACGTATTTCTTCAGCCAGCGTGCCTCCTTCGCTAAACTGGCCAGACAGAGATGAAAAGTTTCCCCATGTGAAGAAGCAGGCTCACAGGCAAGGTCTTCTGTCTCTCACCAACAGCTGCACATAGAGACCTCCCTTCTTTCTGACTTAAGTTACACATATTTTCCCCCCTTCTTTATTTTCGAAGCTGGCAGCTTCATAAGCGCACCATTCAGACAGCCTGAGCCAGGGATGCAGGCAGCATGAATGGGCCACTTCTTGTCCTCCTGGCCCCCTTTCCCTTTGTGCCCATCTTTCCCATGTATTAGGAGCCACCTCATGAAGCTGGAGCCTTGCCCACAGCTTGCTTCGGGTTCCTCTGGTTGCTGTTTGAATCTGCTGCTTTTCCACTCCATCTCCTTAGTTTCTACTGCTTACAGGAAAACGAGACCACCTGACTGTATCCAGCCCACTTCACTTACAGGACATGCTGGCTGTAGTAAATTGAGGGCCGTGCGGGTGCTATGCGAACAGTACGATAGATTTAATTAGAGTTGTGCACAAGTTGGTGAATGGTATGGCCACTTGGCCTTTTACTTTTCTTGCTGTTAAAAAATGTTATCTACTATTGTACTATTTTTCTGTTTTAAAAAATATATTTCTACGTGACCTACCCATACAGGTCAGTCGGCTGTAAAAGAGAGGAAGGGTCAACTCAAACCTTTCGTAATTAGGGATTTTTGGAGGATGCGAGTGAGGGGAAAATAGAGAGTTCGTTCTTGTTATTGGCTTCTGGTGATAGTTTGGGATTGCTTTATAGATTGTGTTTGGCTGCTGGCATGGTGCTTGGGTATAATTAATTTGTGCAGCTTGCCATTGGATAAATAATATTCATTCCTTGGATCCTTGTTCAGAAGGCATTAGCCGAGTGAACTGGAAAACATGCCTTTGTAGGAGAGCTTTCACTGTTTGTGATAATCAATGAACAATCTAGAGGCTGATTTAATTCGACTCTTATAGAACTAGCTGACTCATTGGCTCCTAATGCCTTTTAACATCTTTGATGGTGTTTTAAATCTTCAGTTTCTTACACATGCACTAATATTATAGTAGACTTAGTTCAGAATTTAATGTTTCTGTGGGGATCTTGTTCTGGGAGTTCAAAATAAATACTTTGTGAAATGGGTTTCAAAAGAGTTGTCTTTCTGATAGGTCTCTTCTAGTCAGAAGAAATACTTTGACAAGGGTAAGATCAAGTTAGTTTCTCTTTGGAAAGGGAGGGGCAAAGCAAAGTGAAAAAAGAACCAGGCTGTTCTTTAGACATCTGTATAGTGCAGAGCTCTCAAACCTTATAACGTGCTTTGGCTTTTGGCATTGCAACATTTATAGGGGTAAATAACTCATAGCTGAGCTTTTGCCCTGTGGGATGGCCGGAACGTGTTCCAACAGGAGACAAGAGTTTCTGTTCAAATCTGCCACTCACTTGATTTATGCATCCGCCAAGTGACTGTGAAATAGAGGGGTCAACTAGGAAAGCTGTCTCCCCTCTTGCTTTCTGCCTTTGTGTAGTTTCCTCTCGAGTTTTGTTCCTCTGGACAATGCACCGACTACCCCTGTGTAGGGGAGCTGGCTAGTTGCTTGTGAGTTGCAGTAACAAGTCTTTCGGCTTCTAGTGAACACAGTAGCCAACGTCCCAGGGACTGACTGTGATTTTTTGGAAAAAAAAAAAAAATTGGCACTTTCATGGACACAACTTTTCCCCTTTCAAGTCTAGCTTAAATCTGAGTGACAGGTGAGTCTGGGGCTGCCACATTTAGCAAAGAGAAATCCAGGGCACCTGGCTTAGTTTGGATTTCAGATAAATAGTAGATAATATTTTAGAATTAAGTGTGCCCTGTATTTCATCAGACATCTTTGAGTGTAGGGATGCTAGCTTTCTCTATCCTAAAGGCCTTTGGCTTCAAGCAGGTATTCAGAGATTATTATGATTGGGAGAATAATTGTGTGGCTAGGAACAGACTGCCATGTATTAAGTACTTTCTCTGTTGATTACTTTATTTAGTTCTCAGCTTGCAAAGTACTTATTGTCAACCATTGTGCCTTTGATGATGGCAGTTAAGCTGGCATTTATCGAGTCTATCTGTGTTCTGGGCACTGTGGTAAGAGCTTTGATGTATTCTCATCCAGGGCTTAGCACAACCCAAGGAGGGTTAAGTACTAGAATGGTTCCCATTTTATAGGGGCACAAGCTAAGCCGAAGTTGCACAGCTAGCGAGGGATTGCTTTAGGTTGAAGAACAGGGCTGCACGTCCAAGGTCGCACAAGTCATTTCTGAAGTCTGGATTCCAGTGCAAGTCCCTTTCTTCCATCTGCTCTTACCTTGACTGCACACTGGGGCCACTTGGGCAGCTTTAGAAAACCCAAGTGCCTGGCCCACTCCCAGAGAATTGAATTCAGTTGGTCTGACATTGGCCTCGACATGGGAATTTTTTATAAATCCCCAGGCGATTCTAATGTACAGCCAGTGTTGAAGTTTGCTTTTCTCCATTTTTGGAATGAAATGAATTACTCTCCTTAGGAAATCTGGTCGCTCTATGTGGCCATTCCTTTAGTTCTTACCCCTCTGTCACAGAAACACACCATTCCAAATCTGGCAGCTAATTTTTCATGGTCTTTGTTTCTTCAAAATTATTTTCAGGAAGTCCTGGTGGATATATGTTGGGGGATAAACAAAGCACAAAGAACGACCTCTTGGGGGTCTTCTGTTGATGGATTTTCTGAGAGATCTTTTCTTTTTCATTCCCCCATTATACTTCCTGGAGGAGGGAGTATCCCTTTGTTGTTCACTGAACTCCAGCTGGCTGCCAGGCTGGGTATTTGAGGAGGTTTACAGATTCATAAAACTAGACCACCACCCTCCAGGAGTTTTCAATTTTGGAAGGGAAGTATATAAATGTAATTCTAGGTTTAATGTTCTAAAAGTCGTTTCAGAGGAATACAGAGGATTAAGGACCTCCGAGTTGGCAGAGGCAGAGAGGAAGTGGTGTGAAAACGTGACTTCCGCTGGCCTTGAGGTCCTGCTGTGACACCTGTTCCTCACAGCACCTGGGCTGCTTCCTGAGCCCTGCTGGTCCTCATGGCCTCGGTGTCGCAGTGGATGGACCAGTTCCTTGGTGAGCAACTTCAGAGTCAGTGCCTGTACAGGGCGCATAGCTGGCCTGGCCCAGGGAGAGGCCCAGTCAGCGGGGGTGGCCATGTTCTGTGCATTGCTTTAAGCCCTGCAGTGGGCTTCCTGCTGGTGGGCCTAAGTCAGACTAGTAGGTTACTAAACTTCGTTGCTCTTTGAAGTCAGTAGTCATGGATTTTCTTAACTTGGTAAGCAGTGAAGAGCTGTAGAAATGTGTGAGTGGGAAACGAGACTCAGTCTTGGAAGATGACCTAGGGTCCAGCCGGAGCCGGTGTGAGAAGCCATGAACCCCAAGACTCTGAAAACAAGAACAACAACAAAACTACAAAACAAAACAAACAAAAACCCCACATGTAGGTCAGAGAAAATGGCGTTCTTAGCTCGAAGGACATAGAAATAGAGGGGGAAAAAGGCATTTGGTGCCGGGACTCAGATACATAGATACTTCTGACATAGGTGGCTGGGGCGGGAGAGAGATAGATTTCTGGTCCTGCTGTGACATTCACAGATGGATGATGCACAAGAAGAGGCTGCTTTTTAACAGGAAAAAGGTGATGGATTCGGGTCTGGGCCTCATAGCAGACAATGTGATGTCACACTGCGTGCTACCATGCTCCTGCCGTGATCAACATTTGGCGACAATGTGGAGTCTCCCCGGGTCTCATTTCCAGCGGTTTTAGAGTGTGCATGACGGCAGCTTCCCCTACCACCACCACCCCATCTGTCCTGTCTGTCACTTGTGCTTTCTTCCTCTACTCTGTGTAAGTCTCAGTCTAATACTTTGCACAGGAAATCCATCAGTCTTCTATTGCTGTTGGACCCATGGGCAGTTTCTCTTTTACCACACAGATCTGTGAGCACTAAGTCCTTCCAATATCCTGTGTATATTTATCTGTAAGGAGGAGTTAGAGTAATGAGTCCTTTACTGATGCCAGGCTCTGCTCAGGAGTCCATCAGACAGAAGGTGGATGACTCGGAAGGACTGTTCTCCTCTTGAGTGTTAAGGCCCTTTGAAAGCTTTTGTCTTGTTGAAAATTCTGTAGTTTGTGGAGGATGTGATTAAGCTGTTCAGAACGTTGCTCATACTTAAACATTTTATTTTGCCAGTGTAGGACGTACCAGGGGTTGGCAGACTTTTTCCAGGGGGTATCAGACAGTAGGTATTTTAGGCTTTGTCCATGCGGTGTGGCTACTCAGCTCCTTCTACAGCAGCAGAGCAGTGATGTACAGTATGTAAACAAAAGCACTTTGGCTGGGTTGCAATCAAAGGTTTACAAAGACAGGCCATGGGTT